AAATACAATTTATAAATTTACTAGTTTATATAAAAGTGTGTCGAGACTAACAATTGGTAAAATCCTGTATAAAGACAGTCACGAGTAAATTATTTTTCTATTTGCAACGTTTTGTATATTCACAGATAGAAAGGCAGGCAGTCAGGCGTACAAATATGGTAAAAAGATAAATTATTAAAATTTTCTCTAACCGTTATAAAATATGTTTTTCATAGAAAAAATATGCTTCTATTTATTTATAAAATCATTTTTATTTTGTTAAAATGTGAAAAAAAAAATTCTGTACATATTTATTTATCAATGTGTATAATATACCTCTTTTTATGTACTGCTTTAACTAAATTATTAATTGTAATATTTATTTTTTATATCTGGTCCATTGGAGTGTAAATAAATAAAAAGTATTATGTTATACTTACTTGTTATTATGTAGTACAGTAAAATCTGTATATGTTGTACTTACCTGTAAAAAAGGAAATATTTTAATATATAATAAATTCTAGAAATCTAATAATCACAAATATATTTAAATTTATTATAAATATATTTACATTTTAATAAATATAATGTCAGATACAAAAGTAAAACAGCAGGCTTTGGTAAAAAGCAGTCTTTGTTTTTATAATAAAGTGACACAATAATGTTTTTCAAGCCAGAGAAGGTTCTTTGTTTGCATTTTCAAATTAACTTCAAGAAGTAGGAGGTTCTTAATTCAGTTAATTTATTTTTAAATATTTTGAAAGAAAGAAGAAAGAAAACATTTATTGTCAAGAACAAAAAGGGTTATCATTATCATCATATCAACCATTATCTATCCAATGCTGGACATAGGCCTTCTCCGTAGACTGCCATTATTTTCCATTGACTCCCTGCAATGCATAAAAATGAGTTGTACTTATTAAAAATAGAAAAAAAAAAACTTCATATTTATTTATGTTAATATGACTGGCACTCAGCATTTGTTGCTGAAAATTAAGTGCAACAGTAAATTAATTGCAACAGCAACAAATTATTTATTATCTCAAAACTACATCAGTTACGATCTGATTTTGAAAATTATTTTATATCTGAAAATATATACTTATAGATAGATCTCATAGAAATTTTATAAAAATAGGTTGAGTAGTTTAGTTTTAAAATGAATATAACTGATTTTAATATAATTGAAGTCAGTTTTTTGTGCTATACTACCTTAAATAAATATATAAAAAATACTATAATAATAATCTCGAAATTTTTGCCACTACATGTTGACGCGCTATAGAATGGGTAGATTTTAGATTTTATTTAACGCTAACGCTAATTTCATCCTGTACAACGTTCATTGTAATGTTATCTTTTTTTTTAATCCATACGAAGTACCATTTACTTCATTAAACTTATCAGTGTGTAATCGAAAGAAGGCCAAATGTTTGAGGTCAATGTTTTGAAATGAATAGCTTCTGCCGTCGAATCATTTGGCCATTTATTGTATTGTGAATATCATGTGAAGCGTTTGTATTGTATTTAAAAAGACAGAAAAAATATAAGTCAGAAAATGCAACAGATTTATTATTTTTTATACTTCTTGGCTTGCATATTATAATGTTCGCGCGAACATTACTATTGTTTAAAATATACAGTATGATTAAATATTAAAGATTATTTTTCAAATTTAATTTCAATACAATACAGATACAATACAATTTCAATGTAAGTTCATAGCTACAAATGGACAATGATTGCAATGACAACCGTACTAAACTAAGATTAACTGAGATTACTAAACATATATCTACTCTTATAAATTTAAACGAATCTAATCTATATATAATATTATTTTACATATATAAATATATTTATATAAATACAACAGTTTATTCATAACTTTACTTTTCACATATGGTTCAATTCTCTTAAAAATAATTCGTTAAAATATCAATGAAGTTGTAAAACATTTTCGACACTTCTATAGATTTAATTTTTATTTTCTCATTTATTAATATTTTTTAACAAAGTCTCTTCACTTTACAAAATGTGGTCCTCATGCCGTGGGTCTTGATGTAATGGTTACACTTCATGCATTCCTATTTACAATACCACTGAATGATAACAAAAGTATTACTAAACATTGTTATTGTATTTATTATTATTAGTTTTAGTAATAATACTGTACCAGATGGCATGATAAGTATAAAGTATAACATTATGGCTACAGAAGGAATATTATGACTACAGATAGAAGGACCGAAAATGAAATTCTAATTCAAATAAAAAGCATCATAAAAAGCAAAATAAACAATAACAATGGTGATTTACTAGATCAATCTCGTTATATCGTAGATAGAAGTGTGCAGAATGCTCCAAATACTACAAACACCAAACCGGTTAATATTATATCTCTTCACGATCTCTACCACATTCCATTGGTAAATCAAGCGCATCTACCACTTGTCAGGCTTCATTAGAATAATATTACAATAACAAATATAGAAAATTGTTGGGTACATCAAAGATATCGAGGACAAAGGCCCTTTGTCCAGAATGGCTAATAGTGGCTCGAGATTATGGTTGCGATGATGATGATTATTACAGTGAATAAATGTATAATATAATCGTTTGCTAATATCAATGTTTTCTATTCAGATAACGCAAGAAATTATTTTACATATAGTATGAGAAGTTAAATATAGTTGATTAAAAATTAAACATTCCCATAAAATATTGCCATTGAGTACAAACGTTAATTTAATTGGACTTGTAGAAATTAAATCTATTAGACAAAATCGGAACAGACTACAAGTTAATAAATATAAAGTATATTAAATGAATACGGAAAACATTATTAAGAATTTTATAGTTTTGATCACTTAAATTGTTAATGTGTAAACATGAAAGTTTGCAAACTCTTTATTCGCCAGTTTCACGAATCGGTGAAAGTAGGTCTGACGACAATTCGAAAATGAGGTGACACTTTTGTGAGTACCTGAACTTCTTTTGAACCATGTATAATTTTCTTTAAGAGGTACTTATTTAGTATCCTGTTTAAAAGAATACATATCTGATAGCTTTTAAATGTGAATAGAGTGAGTATGAATAGTCTGTTGCTATAGGCGTAGGGTTATCATTTAGTTCTTTAAATAATTATTTGCACACTGGCTTTTTGTCCGCTACTTTGTACTCGTGGATTGCAAAAATAGAAAAACCAATGAAATAGATATTTTTTGATAACGAATCAAGATACCTTTAAGAACACAACTGTAAAATTTGCATTCAATTTGGTGTAGTAGTTTTAGCGTGCTGCTGGATTAAACATTTTGGCATCTATTGGTCTTATTAAGATTCCTCATATTAAATTATGGTAAGTATCTCCCATGTACAGACATTTTCTAATTAAAATTGGAGTTGTAGTAAGATAGGTATGAAAACACCTGTCACTGTATGGAGCAACGGCCTCAAATTTGTAGGGCGTCACTGTAAAAATTATATTTTCTTTTTTTCGGATAGAGTAGAAATAACGATATGATTCTTTTTTTTTCTTTCCTTCATCTTTTTCTTTTTTCAATCTCGTTTCTTTTCATCTCTTTATTTCTTATTTTTTCATTTAGATTAGGGTTCGTAAGCACAATATACGATTGTAATAGAAAAAAATCTCTAAATAAAGCTAACCAGCTAACTAGTGATGTAACAGTAGGATAGTATCATCTATAGTACGAAATATTTCACCAGAGGGAGACTTTGTACAAAAGTCGTTTACTTGGGCACCTTTGTCCTATTCGTGTTTCTACGTGTGTAGTGAATTTACAGGATACAGAAGAATAACACCTGAGTTCTCAGGAATGGCAACGCAGGCTGTTATGTCCATGGTACTGCTCATGTCTATAGGCGACGATTACCACTTTCCATCAGGTGGGCCGTCAGCTTGAATGCTATTTTAAGTTGCATAAAAAATATATAAAAACTAATAAACAAACAACTTGTTTATGCATATTTTTGAAGTACTAATAACAAGGAACAAAGAGTATAAACGAGAAAAACAGGACTACAGTTGCAATTTAGTAGTAACTAGGCAACAGTTGTTTTTATATATAAATATCACTACTAATGTTATTATTATATCTAGCTTTTATATATCATTTTAAATAACTAACCAAAGCATACTTGCTAAGGAATAGAGTTCGTCTATATATTTATTCATTTATTATATACAACAAATTTAATACATGACGCCAAGTATTCGTGTAAACGACTGTACGAAATTTCTTTTTGCTAAAACTTTGGTCTCTAACATATTATGTTAGCTAATAACCATAAGTCCTAAAGATGTCTGCAATATAAGAATTTATTACGCACAATATTGTTGATACTGAAGAAACTTTTTAAGGTTCTTCTAAGTAATAATTTGCGGAGGTCTTATCAAGAATATTACAGTCTGTGAAAGACCGCGGTCACGCTTGGTGTACTTGGAGCATTAGTAGAAAAAATGATTGTATTTTGCTGTCGACACTTATATTAGATATACATGAATTATAATTTGATTATTAATTTAAATAACAAAATAAATGTTGCTTATTTCTTTTAGGAAATATAAATTATACTTTAATTTTAATAAGAATAAAATAAATTTATTAAGTGGTTAAACAATTCATGTCTACTCGTTCAATTAGTGGGTATAAGTAATGTATTTTATTTATCTTAGCTGAATTTTCAATTATAATAAAAACTTTGTAAATAAACTATAAAGTTTAAAAGTGGAATAAAAATAAAGGGCCTACATAATAGTATCAGTATTTAAAATCAACATAAAATGAATTGCTCTAAAATAAAAACAACTTTATAAGCTAATTATATCGGAAGCGCTTGTCAATTGTATTAATTAATGGTGTTGATGTTGTCGAGGAAGAATCTTAATGTTGTCTGATCGATGATGTTTGTTATATTTCTTGTCTATGTTTTCTGTTTTTTATTCCAATGTACTTACAAGTGATTAAATTTTAAAATTCAAATTTATTTATTTTCAGATAACAAGATCCGTTTTGTCAATAGCAGACTTAAAATCGTTTTAGTAAAAAAAGGTTGGAAGTTAATAGAGAAGGTTATCAAGGGTAGTACCTGTGATGGATACCTAGGATGGAAGGATGGACGGTACGTCAAGATGGCAACTAGCCAAGAAATGTTCCAATCATCGTTAATTTTCTTCGCAAAAAATAAATTACGAAATAAATCTTAAAACTTAGATATAAAATATTTTAATTACCCTCGTGGTATAGCGAAAAAATCTTTTTATTTTCATGCCAAGTTCTTTACAAGGTAGTTAGAGAGATTCGAGTGCCTAAGTCCTCTATTCTTACATTGTACATCTTTCATCTCATCGCATAACATCACTATAAAATAATATATACGAAATGAGAAATTCGTCATTATAAAAGTTGTATAAAAGTCATATGATAATGACCTACGTGGCAATAAATTATAACGGTAAATATTGTTAAATAAAATATGTTTTAAGTTCAAGACCGCATTGGCATGTATTTTATGTGAATTCTCGTAATCGTTATATGAATATTGACTATTTATTCTTTACACTATTGAGAATGAGAAAAGATAACTGTTGTTTTCATTGTGGCGTCTCGACCACGAGTGGTCACTGGTAGTGAACAAAGTTCTTTTTATGGAAATAACTTTTTCTCATCGTGGATGATAAAATAGTTCATCTAAAACCAAGATAGATAAAATACTAATAACATGGCGGATGAAACTAAAATCATTAGCACTCCATAATATATTATTAATTTCATGTATAACAAATATATTATATTTATGAATATTTTTCTGGATGGTAATGTAACTTACTATACGTAAAAGAATTTTTTGAATCAGTTGAGTAGTTTTTGAGTTTATCTATTACAAACTATTTTTTTTTACGCTACTTAAAATGGCAAACAAGCTGAAAGCTGATGGAAAGTGGGAACCGTCGCCTATAGACATGAGCAGTACCATGGACATAACAGAGTACACTGTTTCTCTCATGATGCCCCCCATGAGTTGCCATTCCTGAGGTGAGTTATTCCTTTGTACCCTGTAAATTCACTGCCATATCCTACCCTTTAAACTGAAACACAACCATGCAAACATGACTGCTTCACGGTAGGAACACGAATGAGACAGAGGTGCCCAAGTAAACGACTTTTGTACAAAATCTTCCTCTGGTAAAATTTAAACTAACACTTATATATTTCATCTATATAATTTTAATATATACACAGATAAAATAGTATAGGTATAGTAATATTCTCTTAATGTTTATTACACCCATGACAATGCACAATATTGCAGCTAATAATTATTGCATTAAGCCTCTGGAATCAGTGACTAATCTGACAAAATTATGATACAAAATATAAAATGCATAAATAAATATATAGGATAAGGACCTGGTGATCTGTAACACAGGTTTATCCTACTTCAGACACCAGTTCTTCACAATACATTAAATTATGTAACCTCCAAAAATAAATGTATTAGAATATAATAGATGTATAACTGGTATTGTGAAGAGAATAAACTTTATTATTATTATTTTTTTAAATTTCACTAAAATTCTCATCTCCCCTCTTAAGGAGAGGAGATGGCAACTAACCCCCGGCAGAAGCACAGTCGGCCGGGGTTCAGGGCCCCAGGGAGAGAAACTATTATTATTATTAATAAAATGCTAACAAGATCAGAAAAATCTGCCAAAATTCATACATAATAAATGGTTCTTTTAATAAAGTACTGAAAATGTTAAACATGCGATTACAATATATAACTAGAGAGACATTTGACAACCCTGAAAATAACGGTGTGATGTTACACTCGTTAGTTATTCTGGTGGAGGTAGCGTCTATTCTATAGAGATTTAGCTGCGGTATAAACCACGCTGGCTGCGCCCGCGCACTCAGTTCATAATCTGTCTGTCGAGCGATAGCTTTGTCGTATTGTTGTTTGACGTAAACAACGTTGGTCGCGTAAATAAATATGTGTTATAACTAATTTATATGCGTGTTGAAGTGAAAGTGCCATAGTTTTGAATTTTGGATGAAAAAATATATATTATAGCGATAAAAGGTAATTTTTGTTAAAAAGTATATAATTAATTTAGGTATATTATGTTTCAAGTTTGTTATAAATAATTTGTTATAATTGTGATAAATAATTCATGAAATAATACATCTCTAGGTGATGACTGTTTATTGTGAAGTAATAAAATATTATACCGATAATAAACAATATTTATATATTTATAACTTATATATTTTCAAAGGCTAAAGTGTATAAAACAATATTATAAAAATATAATATAATATTCTAAAACTGGTTTAAAATTTAAATATTCCTTCCTTCAAACGATAAATCTATTTATATTGTCTATAGCTGCGTCTTAAATCTTAAATTTCTTTCTTCCCCTAACAGATAAATGGATTAAGGCTTTAATCAATCCGATTAAAAATTTAATTCTTCATGGTTACCCATTACCCGTTTGATCGTTATACGAAAAATGGAATAACGATCATTTAGAAAAAGATATTAGCCATCTCGGTCCAACTAATTGCAAGTGATGTTCTTATATATGTACATGTACATTATATATGTGTACTTATAAATTTATATAGATTAATAAGTATTTTAAATTCAATATTAGGTTCAGAATTTATTTCATTTTCATTCGATTTTAAAAAGAAGATTCTAAATTTGACTGCATCTTTTTTATGTTTGTTACCTCATAACTGCGTCAGTTATAAACTGATTTGGAAAATCCTTTTTCGTTTGGAAGGATATACTTACAAATTGGTCCCATAGAAATTTTATCGGAATCTCTTTTAATTTTTAAATCAAAATAATTAATTTGATGTAATTAGAGTAGGTTTTTGTGGAACAATTTAATTATAAAGTTTTATAGAGATGCCACAAATAAATTATCTAGGTACCCTTTTATGAAACATGTAATGTCATGTTTTTTGTATACACTAATGACTAAAACGTGACAATAAACAACAAAGGTTTTGCTCACTAAATAATGATGCGCACAAGACTGTTCATTGGCTGAGTTTTTGTAGATTATCAAATTATATATATGGAGCTCTGGAGCTATGTATTATATTTGATAAACATGTAAGTAATGTCCTGTGTAAAAAAAAAAGTTAAATAAAATATAAAGAGTGAAACCATAAAGAAATATAGCAGCAAGATTTTCTTAATATAACATTGGTAATAAACCTGTATATGAGTCTGATAAACGTTGATAGAATTTTTTATAAATAAAAATAATTAATGTAGAGGAAACAAGGCATTCAATGACTAATTTCATATAAGTATACATGTATAATGTTAAATTCATACAAAGAATCAGTCACTAAAAGACGTAATAGCTTTTAAAAACTATTTTCTTTCATTACAATTATACAAATTACATTTAGAGATAAGTACGCCTTGGATAACATTCTTATTAACTTCTTATTATTACTGTATGTTTGAATGCAATAAAGAATATATGTACAGTACGAGCATAATAGACTTTTGATAATTGATTTGGCGTTGCATGTTTTATGGTTTATAGGATACGGGAATTAACACAAACATATAGGAAATCTACGATAATTTATCTGAGTTATCCTGACATGTATCGAATAAAGACAATCAGTGTTGTGTATAGAAACCCTTAGTATAGGGGCATAATTTGTGTGATGTTGGGCAATGAGTGCATAGTAGAAAAATCTTCTGCCTCAGAAAAGGAGACTTGGCAGCGTTACATTAGTTCACTCGTGACCGCTATGTCAAAATGTCAAGATAACTTAGGTAAATTATTATATTTTTCCTAAATGATCGCGTAAATTCCCGTCTCTTATAAACATAGAACTTTCACTCATGGTGACTAAGAATTTTAAACTTCATAAGAAAAAGCAAAGGTTCAATTTATGTATATAACAGACGGACGTCTCACATATATAATTTATTCTATAGGTGTATTAACTTGTGTTGAGATAAAGTATACAAGAAATGATGTCTTAATATGTCTTCATAAATAATTTAATAATTACATAAGAATCGATTATTAATTATTTGATCGCTTGACTTTGTAATAGTTGTTGTACCCGTACTGCTTGTATCAATTGGCAACCATGTTGTACTTGGTTTTTTAAATATTCCAGTTTATGACAAGTTATTTCAATGTATTCTAAACTTTAGTTCTATATTCTGTATCCATTATATTGCCACATTATTAAGAACTGAGACACAGATATCCCCTCCTAACGAAACATCATACCTGACCTACCCGGGGTATAAGCTTGAACATTGTTTTGTTTCGCGTGCCGGTGTAAAAATGTCAGAGAATATCTGCACAGATTCTCTGAAGGTCGGACCTGTCCATTCTATGGCTGCGCGTAGATTGCAATGACCATCCCCGCATCTATGCGTGCCTATACAGGTCCCACAGCGGTAACACTGAAACCGACCAACTAATTGAGCACGTCCAAATGGCTACAGATTCCCTGCTTGAGCAGATTCTTCCCTGAAGTCGTGATTGTTGGCGACTTTAATAGTGAATGGCTTGGTTCGCGTACAACCGACTATGCGGGAAGATCTGATTCATGACTTTGCTTTGCTTATGGTCTGACACAGCTTGTTTCCTCGCCTACGCGAATCCCTGATGTGTTGGACCATTCACCTTCACTGCTGGACCTTCTGCTGACCACCCACCCAGACAACTATGTGATCTCCGTCGAATATCGTCGGATCACTGTTTGGTGCGGAGCGAGTGCCTCTTACGAGTCCGACTCCACCTCGTTCTATAGACGTCGCATTTGGCATTACAGGTCGGCAAAAAATGCGGATTTTTTCGCATCTTACCCAAAAAGGTTTGCTTCACACTGGATGATCCCGACGCCATTGCCGATTCCATTGCTGATGTGGTGCTTCGAATGGAATTATTTATAACTCTGTGGTAAGGGAAAAGCCCTGGTATGGAGCCTCCTGTAGAACAGCATCTCGTCTGAAACAGGAGTGCTTTTAAAAAAGGTGTGGCGTCGCGAGATCCTAACACCAGTGCTTTTAAAATAACTCTGCCTCTAGGTCTTTCAAAAGAGTTATTCAGAGCATATTAGTAGAATTGGCAAGAGACTGGCTAGTTTGCCCTCTGGGACTCGAGCTTTCTGGTCTCTTGCCAAAGCTGCAAAGGGAATTTCTGTAAGTCATCCTTTCCACCTTTACAATGACTCGTTGGCCCAGAACGAAAGAAAAGGCCGATCTTCTTGGATCCATCTTTGCGTCAAATCGACATTGGATGACGGAGAAACCACCACCGACCATCACGTGTTGTAGGAGCTCTATGCCTGACATTAAATTCACGCATAGCTCAGTGCGTAGAGCACTTTTCTTCGAAATCCATAAGTCAATGCTGATGGTAAATTGTGCTTAGGACGTGCGCACCAAGTTGGCTCCGGTTCTTACGCGTCTTTTTCGGCTTAACTCATCGGGCATTGTCCCAAAGTTTTTTCTGGTGCATCCGATCCCTAAAAACAATCGCTCAGATCCAGCTAACTATAGGCCCATAGCTATCACGATTTTTTCTCGAAGGTTATGGAATCCATCATTAACCGTCAACTGCTTATAGAAGAGCATGATCTGTGATCGATATGGCTTTTTTGATCTTTTCTTCAACACACCGATGGGCAGTGGCAATCGAGAGTAAAAAGTTAGTCTAAATATAAATAATCGGGTGTATTTTAATATTTCATTTGTTGCCTGCGAGACTGTGCATTTGGGTCGCCAGTTTTCTCAAGGAACGTAAAAACGTAGTCGACGGTGCATGCTCTGATTTAAAACCTTTGAATGCTGGTGTCCCGCAAGGCTGTGTACTATATCCGACTCTGTTTCTTCTGCATATCAATGATATGTTACAGATAATAATATTCATTGCTATGCGGAACTAAGAGATACATTATATAACAAAGATCTCGCGGAAAACATACCGAATAATAGACTTTTGTCTGAAATCGAAACTTCACTCCATCAAGTTTCGATCTGGGGTGAACAAAATCTTGTCCAATTTAACCCCAAATTACAAGTCTGCGCGTTTGGAAAAAGACGCCGTTTGTCGTATCTCCTCACTTTAATGATAAAAGTCAAGTCTAGGAATTCTGGGCGTTGATATATCTTGCGACGTCCAGTTTTGCGGTCATCTGCTAAGATAGCTTCAAAAAGTTAGGAGTGCTCAATAGGGTGAGACGATATTTCATGCCAGAACACCGCCTGAAATTATATAAAGCCCAAGTCAGGCCGCATATGGAATACTGTTCTCACCTGTGGGCAGGAGCGCCACAGTACCAACTCCTTCCGTTAGACCGCATTCAAAGTCGGGCGGCTCGAATTATCGATAGTCAACGCCTTACTGTCCGATTTGACCCATTGAAACTGCGCAGAGATGTTGCGTCTCTGTGCATCTTCTACCGAATTTATCATGGGGAGTGTTCTGAGGAATTGTTCGGATTGATACCTGCTGCTGATTTTAAATAAAGTTTCATCCCAATCATCTGGACGAGTGGCGGTCTTCCACCGTGCGTTTTTCATACTTTCTTCCACGCACAACCATTCTTTGGAATCAACTTCCAGCAGCAGTATTTCCGAACCGATACGACAACATAACCTTCAAGAAAAGAGTATATTCCTTTTTAAAAGGCCGGCAGCACACCTGCAATGCCGCTGGTGTTGTGGGTGATCATGGGCGGCGGTAGTCACTACCATCAGGTGAGCCGCATGCTCGTTTGCCCCCTGTGTTGTAAAAAAAAAAAAAAAAAAGAACTACTTTCCATAACAGTGTCATTTATTTGTGTTGGCAATAAAATAAATGGAAAAACAATAATATAAACACAGATTCTCTGTCAGATAAATCCGGCTGGCGTGAATAAAAGGTTAACTTCACACTTCTTCACAAAATTTAGATCTACTACCTTAGGAATCTATGACCTAATCTACGTTCGGAATAGTGATTGCATTTCCCCCTGGAAACTATTGTGATTGATTCATTGTTGAATTTGTCACGTTGAGCTTACTGACCCGGTTAATCCCTC